AATTTGTTAAACACAGGCCTCAACACGTTTTACTGTTTCGTTCGTTCTTTTCGTACATTATCTTAAATATAGAACAAAGAATGTTGTATGTAAAGAACTATTTGGTAATTTATAATACGTGATTCTTATTTTATTAATATTTTAGCTATGTACTTTTCCATGATTTCATTTATGTTATATTATAAATTTTGTTTTACAAATTCATATTTTTATTAATTTTTTTACAAATTCTAAAAACAATTCTGAAGGGAAAAAAACCTTGGAAAATATCATTGCACTTTCGATAATCATTCATATTTGTAACATAATTTTTTTAAATTACCTCGTGTAATACACAGGCTCGAACCCAGTAAAAATATTAAAAAAAAGAAAGGGATGGAAAAAAAATGTAAAATAAAAAAAATCAAAGAAATAAAAAAAAATTATTTGTGTACTTTGGATGAAGGAAATAAATATAATTTTTCATGTTTATGAGTATGACAGAAAAAAGAAAGAAAGCTACTCTTATTTATTTTCTAATGGGTTGTAATTAATAAATAGATGTGTAGTTATATAAATATTTATTATTATTATTATTATTATTATTATTATTATTATTATTATTATTATTTCTTTTCTTACTTCTATTCCTCCCATTTTAGGCATGAAATCAATGCTTGTTTCATTGGGGAATCTGGTGTACCCGTCCCGATAGGGCCAGAGATTTCCTACAAAACTGGGAACCGAGGATGGGACGGGAATGGGTAATGTGATTCTCGTTCCACCCTTTTTTGTATATTAAATATATTATTTATAAAAAAAAGATTTAATAATATCTTTTTAATTTAAAAAGAGTATTTTGATTTTGCTTCTTCTATACTTTTTTTACTTGTCTCACACTTACTTTTTTTAGATAAAGAAATAGAGAACCAAAAGTGTTTGCTCAAACAACTACATATGATATTATGATTTTGTTTACATATGAATATTTGATACTTAATAAAAGCAAGATTTTGAAAATATGTAAGATGTGAATATGAACCATTTTGGATAGATTATGATGTTTAATACTTTTGATTAAAATATCTATATTATATTATAAAGCATTTGACAAAAACTATTAAAAATAATTTTTATGCACGAAATATTGTTTATTGATGCACATTACTTAAAATTTAAGATTAGAAGTAAATTGTGCGTAAGCACAACTTATTAAATCTCTATACTTGAATTCGTCTAACTAACTGCAGATAAACATAATCAAATATTGGATAAACATCTCATTTTAAATATAAAAAATATAAAATATAATTAGGATAATCATCGATAACTAACAGAATACTTAATTATATTTTTATAAAAAAAATATAATATTAAACATAAATTATATTTCTTTGTTACTAAACCTAAATTATCTATACTATATTATAAAGCATTTGACAAAAACTCTTAAAAATTATTTTTCATGCGTAAAGTACTGTTTATTAATGGATATTACTTAAAACTCAAGATTGCAAGTAGATTGTGCGTAAGTACAACTTATTAAAGCTCTATATCTGAATTCGTGTAACTAACTGTAGATAAACATAATTAAATACAAGATAAACATATCATTTTAAATAATAAAAAATCTAAAATATAATTGGGATAATCATTGAGTTCTAACAAAATACTTAATTATTATCTTTATCTATACTATATTATAAAACATTTGACAAAAACTCTTAAAAACCACTTTTTATGCGTAAATATTGTTTATTAATGCATATTACTTAAAACTCAAGATTGCAAATAGATTGTGCGTAAGTACAATTTATTAAAGCTCTATATCTGAATTCGTGTAACTAACTGCAGATAAACATAATCAAATATATGATAAACATCTCATTTTAAATATAAAAAATCTAAAATATAATTAGGATAATCATTAAGTTCTAACATAATATTTAATTATTATCTTTATAAAA